ACTGGACTTGCTAGTGATGCCCACAATTGATGGAAGAATAAAGAAACCCATGTGTAGTAATGGGAATGGGAGGAGAGGGGGCTGCTATGTAATCATAATCACCAAACACCCATCCTATGGTGTGTCTGGGAGTTCAGAAGATAGTGAGAATTGCTAGCTCCTGCACAAAAAAAGCAAAAAAAAAGTGCTGCCTGGACATTTGCCATTCAACGAGATGTATTTCTCATTTTGTCACAGACATTGAGACAGTGATAGCCCTTGGGGTTGTTGCATCATTCCATGTTAATGATGAGGCCCACACGTGTGCAATAAATGATGCCTTGAATTATCAGGAAGCCTGAAGTCCTGGAGAATCCATATAGCTTTTTATCCAGGTCTTCAATGCACACCAAATGAAGATGAAGTCCTGGCTCCTCCTGTACTGTGTTTCTATCATGTCCTGGCTTTTTTCTGAGGGCAACAAGTTGTGATTTTTCTGATATCTCAAGAAGGATCCAGTTCTGAAGAACAAAAAAGTGAAACTGATTTTCATAGCCAATGGGAAGGCAGTCCTTTTCCAGATTTCAGTCTCTTGTTTCTCGGAAAGGGATTGACACAACTCTGCCACAATTTCCTTAGTGAAACAAAGCCTTCTAGACTGAGGAAGGGTCACCGGACCCGAACGTTAACTCTGCTTTTTCCCTTCACAGATGCTGCCAGACCTGCTGAGCTTTTCCAGCAACTTCTGTTTTTGTTCCTTCTGGACTACTGCCCCTCATCAATCCTGCTTCTACAAGACTTTCTTGGGGTAGAGTCTTCTAAGGACAGCCTCCTTCCTGTTCCTTTCTCACAGTTGTTCCCACCTCTGTCTAGTCATCTACATGCTCTGCTCACATTGTGGAGAATGTGGCACTGCTGCTACCTATACCATGCAATGCAAACTTTCTGCATTTTTATGGTCAGTAGAAACTTAGAAAATTGAGACATGCAGGAATTTCTTGTCCCAGAGAGTAGTGAATTTTCTAACCCAGAGAGTTGTGGACTAAAGAGGAGGTAGATAGATTTTTGAAATATCAGAGAATTGAAGGCTATGAGAAGTTGTGGGCCTGAAAAGTATCAGCCATGATCTTGCTGGAAGATAGGGCAGGCTTGTGGGGTTGATGGTCTACTTCTGCTCCTTCAAACACCACTAGGAATTCCACACAGTGCTTCCACCAACTTTGCCTTAGCACATCTAAGTTGAAAGTATCTCAGCTACAGCTTGTCAAGTGCCCTTTAAATAGTTCCAGTATGAGGGGCTTCCTGCTTCCTCATGTTTGTTACTTCAGGAGTGAATAGGAAAGTATTGTCTACACGTGAATTATCCAATTTTGATATCTTGACATTATGATGACATGATCATGCACACTTAAGAGACTTTGGACACATAGAAGCATAGAAAACAGGAACAAGAGTAGGCCATTCAGCCCTTCAAGTCTGCTCTGCTATTCAATATGATCATGGCTAATCATTCAACTCAATACCCTATTCCTGTTTTTCTCCCCATACCCTTTGATCTCTTTAGCCCTAAGAACTAGATGTTACTCCTTCTTGAAATCGTTCAATGTTTTGGCCTCAACTGCTTTCTATTGCAAAGAATTTCACAGACTCACCACACTCTGGTTGAAGAAATTTCTCCTTGTCTCAGTCCTAAATGGCTGATTCCCTAACCTTAGACTGTGATAAAAACTGGAAGAAATGCAGATGCTGTAAATCAGGAACAAAAACAAAGTTGCTGTTAAAGCTCAGCAGGTCTGGCAGCATCTGTGACCCTTCACCAGACCCAAAACGTTAACTCTGACTTTTTCTTCAGAGATGCTCCTTAGATTGTGATGTCTGGTTTTGGACTGTCTAAATTGGGAATATCCTTCCTGTGTTTACCTTGTCTAGTTTCTATGCAATCACCCCTCCTCACTCTTCTAAACTCCAGTAAGTATATTGCTAACTGATTCTGTCTCCCTTCATGCATGCTGGGAACTTAACAGCATGCCCTATCCCAGTCGATTCAGGCTTTATAAGTTGTGCACTATGGTACTTCTTACACTATGGTGTTCAGGCTTTGTATTTAAATCCAAACACTGCATTTGTGCCCAATAGTTTTCTTTTAAATAGATTTCCTGTTTAGAATGTAATATGCTGCACTTAAATCAATCTGTTTCTCAATAAACAGTAGCTCTTTCTACATAACGATTAAAGTTTTCCACTCAATCACCCTTCTGCTTGTGTGTGACCATCAGCACCAATCAAGTTATGTGAATGCCTCTTGCAAACCCATTGACAGTAGTAGGTTAAAAAGCTGGGATGACAGACTGGTCACGCTGCATGAGAGATGCTCTGTGCCCAGCTTCCAGATCCTGATTCTGTAGAACAGGGTGGTGAGATTTTTCCTTGATAGGCAATTACTGGATATGGAGACTACAAAACAGATCGTGACATCAGTTACCATGACACAGATATATATGAAGGCATGATTAATTGCTGCATCATAATAACAACATGTCCTGCTTGAAATGGTGCTGCATGAAAATGGCTTTGGCATATCACTAATCATATTACAATACCTTTACACTTGGTCATGGTTATGGTATGAATGATCACATTGTTTGGACTGATCTTTACCTTCTGCTGCTAACATATACCATAGAGCTGACACTGGATGCTTCCTTTTTGATCATTTTCTCTTCTGTTTAAGGACTTGGCCCTTCATGTCCTGCCACAGGGTTTTAAGTATAACAGGGTCTTCCACTTTTTTCTTTAAGAATATTTTGTCTCCTTATAATCCCTTTCACTGACCCATCCCTTAACCAAAGGGATGACTTGCATTTACTTAGCAACTAATATGTAGTAAAATGCCCCAAAAAAAAATCAATAAGACATATAGAAAAAGAAGCTGTGAATGGGAGGGTGATTAGCAGCGTGGTCAAATAGCTAGGTTTTAAAGTATCTCAATGGAGCAGGGAAGTGCAAAGGAAGAATTTAAATTTATGACTTTGGGATAGGATGCAGCTAGCAGAGACTCAGAATCATAGAACTATTGTAGCATAGAAGGTCGCCAGATGACCCTGATACCTAACCAATCTCCTACCTTCCCCCCATTATTGCACATTATTTTTGTCCAAATAATCATCTAATGCTCTTTCAAACACCTCAATTGAACCTCCCTCCACTACACTTCCACACAGTACATTCCATTTTCTAAGTAACTGCTGCTCCTTTCACTCCTGCTTCTTCTGCAGGGCACTTCAATCCATGCCCTCTCATTCTTGTTCCTTTTATGAGCAAGAACGGCTTCTCCCTGTTTATTCTATCCAGCCACACATGATTTTGAAAACCTTCATTACATCTCTTCTTAGCCTTCTTCTCTCCAAGGAGAACAGTCCCAATCTCTCCAATTTATCCTTGTAGTTGAATTTCCTCATCCCTGGAACCACTCTTGTAAGTCATTTCGGCACTCTCCTCAATGTATTCCCATCCTATAATGTGGTACCTAGAGCTGGGATCTAACAACTAGTTGAGCTAAGGTATACACAGCAGAGAGGCTGGGAGTCTGTGCAGCTGGGCAGTAGAATAGTTGAACCTGGAGGTGACAAAGGCAAAGATAAAGTTTTTGTCAGAAAATGGATTGACAGGATGGTAGAGGCAGGAAATGGATGAAGGCAGTCTTTGTGATGTAGAAAATATGGAGGCAAAAACTCAATATGTGAGTCAACTAGGATGTTGAGAAAGTGAACAACCTGGTTGAGCTTGGGACAGTGATGGGGATGGTGATGGATCTGATGGAAAGGTTATCGCATGCTATTTGATCCAGAAACTGAAGAAGATCATTTCATTCTTTTCAACATTTGCCATTTGCTTAGGTTCACAAGCTTTTGTTGAATTTGACCCTGGGCTGGGCTTATGAATTTATATTCTCTCCAGGAAAAAAACTGCAGGTTCCACCTTTGCTACACCACCTACTTACAGAGGCTGGTTTGTACAGGAGTTACATTTGGGTCCAGCAACTAGGGTCCAGGGTTCTCGGAGTCCTGCTGTGTTCGGATCGGAGGGCAGGGTCACTGTGTTCAGTGGTGGGGCAGGGGACCTGGGACAGGAGCAGCATGGCGGCCCACAGTTTCTTCCCTGCCTCTGTTTACTTCTAACTCTCCAATGGCTGCTGAATCATTTATTAATGCCCTTGTCACTTTAACTTGACAATTACAATGTGAGCACATAAATCACCTGTTAACCCAGTTCATTTAAAACTCTGCTGCCCATTGCTTATCCACTTGCAGCAACATTTTCTTCTCACATATATTTTCTTATCTTATTTTTCTTTTCCTTTTGCTAATGTGCAGCTTAAATCTACCTTAGGAATATAGACTTGCGTGATGAGGAAATACCAAATTCCACCTAGTTTACCTTCTACCATTCTGCATGATACAATGATAATGGATTTCTTAACTGACCATAGTAATTGATCTCTATTAATTATCATACAACAGACCAAGACACAACAGGAAGAAAACCCCACTGCTGGACAGCATTGGGAAACATGGGTCCAAAGTCAACTAGTCCTTTCAAACATGTTAAATTTTCCACACATCATGTTTAAAATTGTATCCCTTTTGCAACTTGTTTTGTGAATTATTGAAATAAGCTGAACCGCAGAATGTAAGCAGGCTATATTTTCACTTGCTCACAATCTTTGAGGGAAGTAATGCATTGATTGGGAAAAATGAGGTCCAGACATCAAAAGTAAAAGGAGTCTATTTCACTGCAATCATTTTTTTCATTTTTGTGAGCACAGGTTTGCAGAAAAATAATCCATCCAGAAAAACACTATGCCATATATTAATAATAATTGTGGTGAACAAGTAATAACAGGGCCAGTTTTAGGAAGTTGCAGTCCTATTGGGTCACAAAGATAAGTGAAGCAAAGGCTCTATTTCCCTATCCAACAGGTGAGGCTCCTAAACAGTGGCATAACGTATTTACACACTTACCAGCAGTACGAGTATCACTGGTCCTTGATAGACATAGTCCATATATTTCCCTGGTACTTTTCCAAACCAGCATCTGGAAACATCAAGATTCATATCAGTTGCCACTGGATTTGTTCCAACACAATCACTGTGTTGGCAGTCTGAGTTATTCAGATGATTTACAAGTAGCAATTTAAAAATAAAATGACAAAGCTACAGACGATGACAAAGAATAAGGAGCACTAATCATTTTCTGCACTATAACTTATGCAAGTACCTTAATATCCCATGCACTTTAATTTACAGAAGTGGGACTTTCAGGTCGTACTTTGTCAATGCAGTGAAAACACATTCAATATAAGCCCTTTATCTTGCAATCACAATAATTGGTTAGATATTAGCCTTAATTGCAGCTAAACATATGCAGAGCTCCCTGGTAACATAATTGGTGAATGCACCCCTGGGTTTTGGACTAAGCTAGCAGGTCCCCAGATGCTGCTGGGCAGTAGTTCAGTTACAATGGCTGATCCATTTGGATTGAGTAGAGGAGACATCAGGAACTCTGCTCTTGACTCCTGTTAGAAAGCCAACATGATTTTCAGAAGGCTTTTGATAAAGTCCCCCACAGGAGGCTGGTTAGAAAAAAAATTAAAGACATGGTATAGCAGGTAATGTACTGGCATAGTTTAATGATTGGCTAACAGACAGAAAACAGAGAGTAGGAATAAACAGACAACTCTCGCACCGGCCGAGAGTGACTAGTTGGGTACTGCAAGGATTAGTGGTTGGGCCCCAGCTGTTCATAACAGATATCAATGATATGGAAGTAGGGACCAAAAGTAATATTTTTAAATCTGCAGATAATACGAGTCAAGTGAGAATGTGTGTTGTGACGAAGATGTGAAGCAGCTTCAGGATTTGGACAGGCTTAGTGAATGGACAAGAACCGGGCATATAATGTGGAAAAATATGAGGTTATTCATGTTGGTAGTAGAAGCAGATGTGCAAAGTATTTCTTAAAAGGCAAAAAGTTGGAAAGTGTAGGTTTACAAAGGGAACCTGTTGATAAGTAACTGAAGACAAACGTGCAACAAGTTATGAGGAAGGCTAATGAAATGTTATCCTTCATTGCAAGAGGTCTGAAATATAGGAAGTTTGAAGTCTTGCTTCAGTTATATCACATCTTGGTTAGACTACACCTGCGTACAGTTCTGGTCTCTTTATCTCAGAGAAGATTTAATGCCATAGAAGAAATGTAATGAAGATTCCTCAGACTTGCTCCCGGGATGACAGTACTGTAAAAATAAAGAGAATGCCATTTAGGTCCGAGATAGGGAGAATTTATTTTTTACTTGGAGGGTTGTGAACCTTTGAAATTCTCTACCACAGAGGGCTGTGAAAAATGTGAAAACTGTCCGAATATGTTTAAGGTAGAGATAGATAGATTTCTGAATACCAGTAGTGTACAGGTTTTTGGGGATGGTGTTTTGGTTAAAAAAGGCATTGAAGTGTGCAATCAGCAATCATATTAAATGGTGGGAAAAGGTTGAGGGGCTGAATGGCCTAGCCTAATTCCTATATTCCTATGTGTGCATGGTGGGAGAGATTATGATCAGGTACTGTTATGATGAACACTACTGTCAGTTAGTCAGAGATTACTGTGTAGATTCACACCCAATGATTCAGGAGTTGGATGTGAGACCAGAATGAGAGGTACCAATTGCAAACAAGTTGCAAAAGAGAGAGGAAAGCTATTATGCCAGGATGGCATAAACATTCAGGAAACAAGCAGTTATATTTAAGTGAAAGTTTGGATAGTGTGTTGCAGAGAGCCAGCTGTTTTTGTTTTAACATGAGAGTTAAAAGTGGAACTGTGAGGTGTCCACTTATTAGTTACAGGAGATCACATAACTTTTGGAGAAGTTGGATTTGATACTTTTGTGAGACTTGTTGGCACCATTCAACAGCCGCTTTTATAGAGTCATGGAGATCAGATCACTGAGTCTCTGCCAGTCTAAAACAGCCATCCAATTATTCTAATCCCATTTTCAGTATTTGGCACCTTTTATGCTTAGGCATTTGCTGTCCTGATAGAAAAGCTTTCAATTCAATCATCAATCTCCCGTGGGAGCTTTTTTGATTTTTTACAGTCCTGATCAAGTCTTTTGAAGAATTGATGAGATAAGTCGCAGTTCGTCACAGGACTCAGAGAGGAGCAACTGCATTCAGATCTCCAAAAACCTGCAAGCCAAGATAAATCTCTCTGTCCTGCTCTCTCTTTCTCTTCCTCTGTGAGTGGAAGAGCAACAGCACTAATAGAATCTTAGACAGAGAATTTCTAACTCAAGTAAAAAGTTTGTTCCAATTCTTCTGAATAGAAGATCGCTGGGGTAGAGAACAACCTGATATCATTGCCAGAAACCAAAAGAACTGTGAGAAAGGCGCCTCATTCCATCCTTACAGTTTGGATTCCTGATCCACAAAATTTGCTCATATTTATTATGTTTTACGACCGTGCTATTTCTGCAAAACTGTCTGTATTGTCCATCCTGTTTATGAATATGTGCACATTTAGATGTAAATGGGAGTTTGGTTTAAGTTCGCACATTAGTAATTAATAATCATTTTTTTCCAAGTTTTAAAGTATAAGTTTGTTGATAAATAAATGAGTTTTATTTACTTGTTTATTGTTGAAACCTGGTATGAATTTCTTTCATGTGGTGGTCAAAGTCAGGCAAATTACCATCTTATTGATTAAATTGGCATTCTATGCATTTTTGATGATTCTTCGAATCATGGGGCTTGATTTCCAGTGTCCTCTCCTCATATGGGACATGGTATTAGTGATGTTTGGCTTCTGTTGAAGCCTGGGACAAGAAATGTTTTGGTAAGAAACTGCAAATAACACACTTCTGTTTAATCTTTCCTATTTTAGAGGTTTGCAGAAGCTAACTGGCACATTTTGTCTTTCAAAAAGCATGCTTGAAGGACCAGCATTGTATGTTTTCTAAATGATATAGAAGCATTTGAATGGGTGCAGAAATTTACAGGGTTGGAAACAAAAATGTGTGGCCATACATTTCAGGAAAGGTTTCTCAGGGTGGAATTCTCTATTGATAAAGCAAGACTGAGGACGGATCTAATGGATCAATTTAAAATTATGAAATATTTTGATAGATCGGAGACAGACAGCGCATTTCCACTGGTGGGGAAGAGCATTCCTTGCCATCATTAACATAAAATACACCAAGAAATCCAACAGGGAATTTAGGTGAAACCTTTTTCACACAACGAGTGGTAGGGATTTGGAACTTGGTACCATACAGAGTACATACAGCAAATAGTATGGATGGATTTAAGGGGAAACTCGATAAGTGCTTAAGGGAGAAAGGAATAAATTGTTACAATAGTAGATTTAGTGATGAAAAAAAGGCAGGAGTCTTAAGTACAGAACAAACACCAGCATGAGCTGCCTGGGCTGAATGGCCTGATTCTGTGCTATATATACCTTGTATTTCTGAAAAAAAGGTCAAAGCTATTATCTTTCACTCTTTAGGAAAGATGTTAAAATTCCAATATTCAAAGGCAGCAATAATTTTTACTGAGCGAGAAAAGATTTATGATCATTGGCAAGTTGACTCTGTTTGGTAGAAACATTGCCAAGGAGAATACACCAAGGAATGACTGACGCAAATTGGTTTGATTAAAGCAGGCACTGTGTCTGGACTTATACTCTTCTCCTGCAGAGGACACGTCCCTGCTGCATGTACATAAAAGGTAAAAAGTAAAGTCAGCATAGTCCTACTCTGTCATTAGAGAGATAACAAAGTTTAATCTGAGAGTCATCATTCCTCAGACAAAGGGAGAAGTTGAGATGGAGGAGCCTTCATGGTAACCTCAATCAGTAGGGGAATTGAACCCACACTTTTGGTGTCACTATATTACAAACCAACCATCCAGCCAACTGAGCTAAGCAACCTCCTGCCTGAATATATTCAGCTTTCAGCTTGTGTAAAAGAACTAAATTGCAAAGCCAACAGAATTTTAATTTGGTTCTCTGTGTGGTGCCAACTTTCACATTCTTAGCATACTCAAGATTATTCAGCAACTACTGTCCAATGACCAACTACTTCTGACATCAGGTATTATGTTGCTAGATCAGTACATCAGTACTCTTCCTATTACTAAAAATTGAAGAGATATAAGTGGAACAGGTCAATGACCAACAGATCCTACCAAACACCTTGTCCCTTCTGAAATATAAAGGTGTGTATGTTTATATGTAAGTACAACTATACATGTAAGTGCACATGTGTGTCCATGTATGCACAGGGTCGGTTTCCTGTTCAAACTGAAATCATCTCATCAAGAGCCAAACAATAAGAAATAACAGAACATGCGGATAGCAGTGAAACTCAAATTTCAACAGTTTAGCTGTTTTGGAAAGGGGACAGATACATTTTGCTATCAACACTGACATTAACTGTCATGGTGGCAGAGGCAGGACTAAGTTACAAAGATAATAAAGATCTCAAGGTTGTGTTCGATAATCTCAGTCAACACGCACAGCCTTATGACACTCCACGCTAACCAGATCAATATGATGCTGTTCTTTGTGGATGGAAGATTTTATCCACCAGCAGAATTCTTCATTCTTCATTTTCTTCAGAATGCGATGAGACTAAATAATTTCAGGTTGAACAGCCAGTATCAGACTGCGCAGGTTTTATTCTATTCTGGGAATTAAAGCTTTCTACATAACAGATGGGATTTTCCACCTCAGTGCTCCTTGTGCATAGTGGGAGTCCGTGCTAGGGAAATGGATAGCGTCAACTCAATGATTTTCTCATTATTGATTTTAATGGTCAGAATACTTGCACACAATGAGAAGCATCTTGTACATGTGAACACTCACCAATCAATATCCCTTAAATACTGACACTCAGAACCATCCTGTTGTTTATAAAGCAAGTCAAGAACATCCCATAAAGACTGGAAATTAACAAGGAACATCTTGCAAATTCTGACATTCCATCAGAAAGATCTTCAAAATTCTGGCAGTCACTGAGGACCGTCCTTCAAACACCGACACTCACTCAGGAACATCTTATAAGTACTGACATTCAGTCAGGAACATCCTGTGAATACTGGCACTCAAACATGGGATGGCTTGTAAATACTGGCATGTATTTAGGACCACAGCACAATAAGGGAGTCTAAGACCTGTATCCTCACTAATCCCACAGACTTATCACTGACATCAGAATAAAAACATACGTCAGTCAAATTTTATTTAAAATTTTCCCCACTGTCTCACTCTGCCCTCTTTGAGAAGCATTTCAAGTGGTTTCTGATCTTTGTTTTCTTACGTCCTGGATTTTTTTCCACATTTCTTTGACTGCACAATCTGTTTCCTTCAGTCATTGAGTACTCATTTCAAGACACTGAATGGAATGAAATGCATACATTTTATGAAAGGAGGGAGGTTTCTTTCTTTTACACATTTCTCACCTTAAAAATACTAATAATATAAAACTCACAAATTCAGATGACATCTTAATACATTACTTACTGCTCATTTTCATAATATAATTTGCCTATGGCCCAGGCTACAATGATAGGACAGGGTATACCTGTGGAAGAACAAATACTTCAGTCAGTTTTAATGAATGAATTCAGTTTTTAAAACAGCTCCAGATTGATACTATATGTTGATAATATGCAGAGCCTGTGTGACAACCAGAAGGTAAACTGTTTTACACAATGCTAAGAACAACAAAGCTTGACATGAAAAATGTTACAGCGTTTACGTGTGACAAATACATAAAGTACATTGTGTGTGTGTGTGTGTGTGTGTGTGTGCATGTGAGTGTGTGTGTGCATGTGAGTGTGTGTGTGTGTGTGTGTGTGTGTGTGTGTGTGTGTGTGTGTGTGTGTGTGTCCAATTAAATACTGCTAAGACTAAAACCAATGCTTTCTGTCCTTGCTCCAAACTCTGTTTCCTAGAGAGCAGCTTCCCCCCTCTCCCTGGCAACAGACTGCCGCTGTTTCTGCTACCTAATTCTTTGACTGTGCTTTTGATCTCTTTCCTTCAGTCATTTAGGAGTTATTTCAAGATATTGGATGGGATGGATGTATTCTATGAAACTATGGAGTTTTCTTTCTTCTATGCCTTTTTCACCTTTTCACCCTAATGAAAATCCTAAGTACATGGAGAATATAAAACTCACATATTTAATTGATACCTTAATATTGTTAATTTTCGTAATATTATTCATCCAGGCTACATTGCAGGAACAGAACATACTGGTAGAAGAACCACAGGATTGTTTTGAGTCAGTTTGTAACCGTGAGGCTGAGTCGAAAAGTAGGAAAGTGACGTGGAGAGAAACCTTCTTCAGAAAACCCACCAGATCTTCTGGCAGTCAGGTAATACAAAGCGCCACTCAGTACAGCTTGTCATCACTATGGTGGAGGCTGTGGTTGGTGCTGGGATACCATTGCTCCACCCCACTTCTAATGCACAGATGGAGGACCAGAGGCAAGAACGGTGAGTGTTGTTTGGAGGCCTTTCTGGGGTCGGGGTTTGGAAGTGCAAAGCAAGGGCGGGAGAACCCACTCCTTGAGGTTGAGTTCTTTGGTTGTGCACAAATAGTACAGTTTGAAGAATTGCACCTCTACTTTATTTTAAATTCATTCCTAGCATGTAGGCATTACTGACTGGACCAGCAGTTATTATTTATCCCTAATCACCCAGAGAGCAGATAACAGTCAATCACATTGCTGTGATCCTGGAGTCACATGTATGCCAGACCAGGTAAGGATTAGTGAAACATTAGTAAACAAAATGATTTTTGCCAATAATCGACAGTGTTTTAATCGTTATCATTAGATTCTTAATTCCAGATTTTTTTTTTTGATTTCAAATTCCACCATCTGTCAGGGCAGGATTCAAACCCAGGTTCCCAGAACATCACCTAGGCCCTGGATGAATACTCGAGAGATAACACCATTATGTCATCACCTTTCCTGATTACTCCCCACAAACTGACAGGCTGGTCATTGGTAATTATTTGGATAGTCAGCTCTCTTTTGTCCCAGCTGGAGCTGAAGTAATTGCAGCCCATTTGGATTGAGGCCCTTAAGTGGTTGTTCATTGACGTCTAAAGGGCCTTAGTAGGCAATGGTTTGGAAAGATCAACCAACAGCCTTCCTACCCAGAACTTCATTCTGATATTGTGGGTGCAGGTTAGGTACCTCCCCAGTATCAATCGCCCATTTCTCAGGTCGGGAAAACTCTGCCATTAGTCTGAGACTCGATCTTGTGATCAGCTTCCAACCATCTGTTGGTACCTTCTTCAAAACCGCCCATTCCCACCTCTGTAACATTGTTCTGGATATTGTGACAGCCAGATAGTCATTGGAGCAGACTGGAGTTGATTGTTAGGACTCGATGGAATGCTGGATGCAGCTGACTCCATGAGAAATTGCAGATTCTGATTGAAAATTGCCCTATGTCTGGAAAGCTCTGAAAGAATCTGTTCATGTCCTGGAATTTGGAGGCTTCAACTTCCATTAAATTAGTAGTTTCCCAGGAAATATTAGACATTTGAAAATCTAGTGTAACTCTCCCAATCCTCCATTATATTTTTGTTTCTGTAGTTCTGGCCTCTTGCGTGGTCCCAATTTCAAGGACAGCTGTCTATCACATTCTCCAGGGCAATTAAGGATGGACAATAAGTGCTGGCATAGTCAATGGTGCCCACATCCCAACAGCTTTTTAATGATTTTTTTGAAATGTTGCACCACTTTAAGTGACTAGGCCTTTAATGAAGTCCCTGGCTATGACAGTCCCTTCTTAGCGTTCTCCACCTCTCTATCTGACTTTTCTCCTTTAACACATATTTTTAGAAGCTTCTTCTTTGACCAGGATTTTTGATCATCTGACCCAATTTCTTCACATTGGTTTGATTGCATGCTTTGTTTTCTAATGTTCCTGCAAAGTTCTTTGGGACTCCTGTTATTACACCATATTAAAGGTGCTATATAAGCTGCTGGTTACTTAACTGTTTTTCTGTGATGGTTACTTTAACAAAAAGACAAAAAGCTCATGACTTACACCATCCAATGAACAGAAATATCCATTTGCGCAGCTTATCTGTGGAGTAGGTCATCACTATAGCTGTGTGGAGATAGCAGCCCTCGACAAACATCCAGAAGAAATTAGTCACCACAAAGTAATTGAAGATAGTTGTGATAAGACGGCACCAGGGCTGAAAAGAAAGATTAAGCTTGCAGTTAAACGTATTATGTTTACATAAAAGAACAAGACTAATGTTGGCAGGTATATGTTGCAAGGGTTTACTTTCATCAAGGAAGATCACTTTTCTGAGCTGACAGTTGAAGATTCAGGGTGGAGGTTGCATACCCAGTTTGATGAATGCCCAGCAATCCTGCAAACTGAGCATTTAACTCCTCATCCTGTGCTCCAATCTACTCTTTTGTCATGAGAGGTTCATCTGGCATTAGTGACCATTGAGGCATTGTATATGATGTGATGTATTCCCATCAAATCCCTCTCGCTTTCTCTCCACCCTTATTCCAAGCCCAGAAATATTCTTGATTCTGCTGCTGAAAGCTTTAGGACAGGTTCTCGACCTCCAGCTGGCCACTAGATAGCTTGCTGGTGTGCCCATTGCCACTGCGGGAGACAGTCGAGATATCAGCTGGCCATTCTACTCTATGAATTATTATGGCTGATTTCACACTTATCCAGATGTGGACATGCCAGAAGATTTTACTCAATTGAAGGCATGCAATTTACCCTTAGTTGAGAAGTATTTTGTCCAATGTCATGTCTTGGGTAAAGCCAAGTTATTCACTACAAAACTAGGGGTTAAGCCAGAGATTTCCTGGCCTGTGTGACATGTACTTCATTGGGCAGTTCAAATGTCTATTAAATTGTGAGAGAGGTTTTGACATTTATTCTAAGGTATCTGAGTTCTGAATTGCGTTGATATTCATCAATGCTGGGGACAAAAACATATATCTCCATTTCCTGTACACTGCGGCACTTGTAATTCCTTCCAGGTAAAAGAAAGAACTGTCTGTGGAATAACATTCCCTCTGCTGTAGATTGATAATGGGTGGGTGAAAATGTTCTCTCCTTTAGACAAAATATTTTCCAGTGGAGATCTTAAATTAAAACAAAAATTCTTAGTGTAGGTGCATTTAATCTCTATCCCTATTTACCCTGAGAAGGTATAGGTGGGCCACCTCTTTGACCTCCAGCAATTTGATTCAAACTGACTGATTGAATACGGCATTTCGGAGGGCATTAAATTCAACTACATCCCAACAAGACTGAGTAATGGCAGGAGGCTTCCAACACTGAAGGATGTCAGTGAAACAACTGAGTTTTTACGAATGGTCCATTTATCTATGGTCATTCACAAACTGCCTGAGTTTGTTTATTTATTTGTTTGTTTTGTTCACGCAGGTGGCATTGGCATCACTGACCACGTCAACATTTGTTGCCCGTCCCTATCTGCCCTTGAAAAGGGGTGACGAGCTTCTTGAACCACTGCAGTTCATTTGGTGAAGGAACATTCAGAATTCTGTTAGAGAAGGAGTTCTAGGATTTGACCCAGTGATACTAAAGACACAATGATTTGTTTCTAAGTGTCTTGGAGTGAAACTTGCTTCTGTAGGTGTTCCCATGTATCCTCTGCCCTTTTCCATCTAGATGGTAGTAGTTGTATGTTTGGAATGAGCCGCTGGAGAAAACCTGGTGAATTATAAATGTAACTAAATACCAGACTTGGGAGAAAATGCATTAAGACAGGATGTTGTGTTCATTCCCAAATCAGGTAGCTTGGAGACTCTATCGCAAGAATGACAGAATTTAGTGCTCCATCTCACTTCTTATGTTTGTATTTGTGAGATCTGTGAATGACACAGTAATTATTTTCCCTCCAGTCTTCCACAACAACAAGATCTGGACAATATCCAGGCTTGGGCTGACAAGTGGCAAGTGACATTTGTGCCACACAAATGCCAGGCTATGACCATTACCAATAAGAGACAATCTAACCACCGCCCCTTGGCATTCAATGGTGTTACCATCACTGAATCACCCACTACAAACATCCTGGGGGTTACCATTGACTAGAAACTCAACTGGACTCACCACATTAACACAGTGGCTACAAGAGCAGGCCAGAAGCTGGGAATACTGTGGCGAGTAACTCATCTCCTCAAAGCCTGTCCACCATCTACAAGTCACAAGCCAGGACTGTGATGGAATACTCCCCACTTGCCTGGATGAGTGCAGCTCCAACAACACTCAAGAAGCTTGACACCATCCAGGACAAAGCAGCCCGCTTGATTGGCACTACATCCACAAGCATTCACTCCCTCCACCAGCGACGCTCAGTAGCAGCAGTGTGTACTATCTACAAGATGCACTGCAGAAGTTCACCAAAGAACCTCAGACAGCACCTTCCAAACCCACGACCACTTCCACTTAGAAGGACAAAGGCAGCAGATATATGGGAACACCACCACCTCCAAGTTCCCATCCAAGTCGCTCACCACCCTGACTTGGAAATATATCGCTGTTTCTTCACTGTTGCTGGGTCAAAATCCTGGAATTCCCTCCCTAATAGCATTGTGGGTCAACCCACAGCAGGAAGAATGCAGCAGTTCAAGAAGGCAGCTCACCACCATTTTCTCAAGGGCAACTAGGGCTGGGCAAGAAATGCTGGCCAGCCAGCAACGCCCAGATCCCATGAAATGAATAGAAAAATAAAACTGCCCTAAAGTTACAGATAACAGCAAGACGCTCTTGGAAAATGCAAGGTGCCATTTGAAAGAGGTCAAGTGCTCTTCTAGTATTGTTAAAAGCATCATTTTTTAGGTAAAGGGTGAACAATCTAATTGGAACTGTTGAGTTCATTGGAACTGTCACTGTCAATGGAACCGTAAAGCTTGTTGCAAAAAAAGGCAAATGAGATGTGGTCAACTGAGTTCCAACAGTTTGAAGTTTATATTTATCATGTTTACCAAGAAACACTGATATATCCTGACCGTAATCTGCTGGCTTTTGTAGCAAAAATAAAACTCAATATGTAAGGCATTCTGATGGAAATTATCAATTCAACTATTCAATGTAAAATTTGTTCATGTTGCTGGAAAAAATAATGTAATAGCAGGGTCATTATCAAGATTAATGTTGTACAGAAATAGTTTAAGAATTGGTAAATAGCAAGAAACTGCTTAAATACCGTATAAGGAATGAATGAGAGTGAACAACCATATATTTGCATGTGGTATTGTACATGTAGCATGTGAAATTGGTGATGAAACATGTTTAAAAATGGTATTTCATTTTTGTCAAGGGTGGAGACATGTAAGGGACCATGCGTTTTTTTGGACTATAAACTGAAGTGGAAATTAAGCTGCTAGAACTGGAAAAACAGGAAAATTTTGCTACTTGAAAATCAAGCGTTCTGTATTGTTATACCGTGGAATATAATATTGCTTTAGGTTGCAAAAAAAAGAGAGAAGTCAATCTGAACATGATCAAGGATCTTTCAAGTGAATGAAATTGTGCCTGGTAACAGCTGTAAAATATTTTTTAAAAAGCTGTAAGTACCCAGAGCAGCACAGAGTGAAAACATCTACAGCCTACAAACCGCATGTCTCTCTCTCTCTCTCTTTCTGTGAGGATCGAGACAGAAAACTCCAGCGATCTTAAAAGAAATGACTCATACAAGAAAAGAAACAACATGCACCTGATAAACCATTGAATCAAAGAGTGAGCATCACTATATAGACAACAACAGCTCACCAATGCAAAAATTAAAAAGGACTGTTGGAGAAAAGTGGCTTTCCACTTTATGGTCTGAACTTCTGATCTTGGGAGTTCAGTTGTCCTTATCTGGTTTGTCATGTCCTTTAGGGAAAGAAATCTGCCTCCTTACTTGGTCTGCCCTACATGTGACTTTAGATCCACAGTAAAGTGATCGACTCTTAATTACCCTCTAGGCAAACAGGGATGGGCAACAAATGCTGGCCTGGACAGCAACACTCACATCCCACAAAAGAAAAAAAAAAGCATTTTTCACCCATAATATATGTTAAGCCATTGTGTTTTGTTTGTCTCAGTTGTGACTGAGAGGGTGTGTGTTTATGAAATTTGAAGGGGTTTAGTGTAAGTTGCATAAATTAGAAATTTTTTCTTTCACTGCTCTTGTTAAAGTTAAGTGTATTACAATAAATAACATTATGTCTATTATTTCTGCAAGAACCTGGTGTGGTTTGTTTTTGTCCTGAGTAGCAGTCAGTCTGGTAAATTGGTCATTTTAGTGGTCTCATGTTTTTTTAAATATAATATTGCTTTTGGTTGCAAAAAAGACGGAGAAGTCAATCTGAACATGATCAAGGATTTTTCAAGTGAATGAAATTGTGCCTGGTAACAGCTGTAAAATATTTTTTGAAAAGCTGTGAGTACCCAGAGCAGCAGAGAGTGAAAACATCTACAGCCTACAAACCGCATGTCTCTCTCTCTCTCTCTCTTTCTGTGAGGATCAAGACAGAAAACTCCAGCGATCTTAAAAGAAATGACTCGTACAAGAAAAGAAACAACATGTACCTGATAAACCTTTGAATCAAAGAGTGAGCATCACTATATAGACAATAACAGCTCACCAATGCAAAAATTAAAATTAAATCTTTTTTGTTAATATACATTTTGTAATGACCTGTGGAGCAGTGGGACATAATTATCAGCACACAGCTCCCAGTTAAGTCATGACACTAACCCAATGAAATACTGTGTCATACCTACTGCTTACCTCTTCTGCATTCAGTGAATTCAGGACAGAACAGTGATGGAATGTACATATGACCCTTCTAGTTGGCCAGATCCAATCATACGTTAGTTAGGCACTCACAAACATAAGCCAATGACTGCTGAATTTCACTGTGAGAGTTTACCTCATTGTTCTCATGTATCTGGTGGTCGATCATTTGCAATAGAAACCACATGGCATTCCTCAGTATGAACGTAGTTATCAAGTTCCAATGAATGATGTTCCGGAGGCATCTTATGCTTCTATCAAAGCCAACACAAAGAAAGAAGGGACAACTAAAATTGTGCTACATTTTGTCACACTGGGTATAGAGATCAGGCACATTTATTGAAAAACACAGTTTATGACTGTTCACTGTATAAAGAGAGATAAACGTGATGGTTACAGTAAGACTCTGCACCAGTGAAATTGAGCTTTTACAAAGTGGTGGGCTTGTTGAGTTCAAATGCCTTCCCTTATTTTTTAATCTGGCCTAAATGAATAAATCAGATGTTTGTTTGGCATAAAAGTGATCATCCCATTATCACCGATTCAGCGTTACCCTTTTAGGAAAAGTGAAAGACTGACAGCTTTAAAAATCAGCAGTTGGGAGACGGGATGTTCTTGGATGAAATAGATTCTGGCATTTCACTGCTGAGCTCCAGATCTGAGACTGACAGGTTTCTCTCTGGTTGCTGTAAGGGAGGATGTTTAAAGGGAGGATGGCGGGGATGGGGGCGGGAGGGGGGGGGGGGGGGGGAGGGGGGCGGTAGGGGTGCGGTTGGGTGGTGGTGGTGTTGAAATCAGTCAGGGGGTTGACAGCACCGAGTGTATGACAGTGTGACTGGAAGTAACAAGTTAACACTCTGCGGCTGCCTCTTTCATGGCAGTTTTAACTAACCTGTTCAGACGTGTTATGACACATCTCTAGAGCAGGTGGCACTTGAACCCAGGAATTCTAGCCAAAAGGTAGGGGCATTACCACTGTACCACAAGAGCCTGGTGGCCTCCTTTAACATTACAAACAACTGATTAAAGCTGCCTAGTGGCCCATGAGTTGTTCACATTTAACAGCTACGAAAACTCCAGCAGATTCATTCAGCTTCTACAATGCCTTACAATGACTTGCGTCGCTGTATCAGTGATAATGATGCAAAATGAGGCAGGTTGGTGGAACAGGAAGACAAATGGCCAATAACAATAAAAGAAGAGAAATATGAAGTGATTCAGTTTGATAGGAGGAATGTGGAAAGGCAATACAAGCAGAAGAGTAGAATTCTAAATGGGATTCAGGAGCAGAGTGAGCTGGGTGTAGGTAAAAATAAATCATTGCAGGTGGCAGGTCAGGTAGAGAGAGTAGTTAATAAAGCAAACTCTACAAAAGCAAGCAAATTACACTAAACTTGTAAAACAAAACACTCACTTGGCCTCAATTGAAATTTTGTATCGAGTTCAGGCTTCCACACTTTAGGAAGGATAAGAAGACAGAGAGAGCATAGGACAGATTTTTAAGCTGGTTCTATGGATGCAGAACTTCAGTTATGTAGAAATTTCTGTGAAGCTTAGGACTGTTTTCTTGGAAAAGAGGCAGTTAAGAGGAGACGATAGAGGTATTCAAAATCATGAGGGATCTGGACAGAAAGCCAAATGGCTACCATTGGAAGGAACAAGAACTAGATGATACAGATTTAATGAATTTGCAAAAGAAGCAATGGTAGCATGAAAATAAACTTTTTGTATTCAGTGACTAGTTAAGTTCTAGAATGCACTGCCTTTATCCTTTTTCAGTTGTCCCTCAGGACAGAGCATAATATTCTTTCTCTCTGGAATTGTGTGTCCTGAGCTAACTAACCAGTCCAATACTGCTTGTGCTGGTGCATGTGGTGTCTGAAGAGATGGGTGAGCGGTCACAATTATGGGTGTCTCAGAAATCCGCTAGCATCAGGTTAGGGAGCTGTGGTCATGTTTTGTGCCGAGAGTGCTTCTTTGTCATAATTCAGAGGGGACCTTGTTGGTTCTCAGCAGTCGTATGACTTTTTCCAATCTCGCACTGGGCTGGAGTTGTGCTGAAGTGGTGGCACTGTTGGATGAGGTTGATGGCACCCACATCAAGGACTGAGTCTCAGTGGAGGAAATCTCCAAGTGCTGAGACTGTAAGGGAGGCAAAGTTAGTTGAGACTCTCGGACGGAACTGGCTCAATATCTGAAAAGGAGGAAATACTGCAGAACTAGGATAGAAGGCAGTGGAAAGTGAATAGAACCAGGTGAATTGCTCCTTCAGATGGCCCACATTGTCAGAATGGGGTGAATAGTTGCCTGTTGTGTTACAAGCTTTCTATGGCCCTATGAATAAAGGTGACACTGGATAAATATGACAAAGAAAGGAATAGAAGGATATGGTTTTGGGGTGAGATTATGTGGGGTGGGAAGAGGCTGGTGAAGTACATAGACACTGGCATTGATCAGTTGGGCCGAATGACCTGTTTCTGTACTGTACATTCTCTGTAATGAAACTCTGACTAGTTACAGCTATTAGAATGTAACAACCTTTACAAGGAAGGTATGTACTGAACTGCTGAAATTCTTAATACATTCTATATGGCATCTTTGTATTGGATGCCTATGGTGGTGTCAAATAGATACTACCATGTCTTAGTTATAGGCAGGTTCCTGGGTTTTGTGAGGAGTATGCAAGTGTTGTGGAATATAACTCCATTTTAAATTGATGGGTAAGGGTAAATATGAGAGAAGAAGCCATCTTGGTTAGTTTGTGAGATGCAGATATTGAAAATTACATTTCTATGCCCAGCTACATGTACCACCTTATTCTGTCTCATATATGAAATAAAAATAGAAAATGCTGGAAATACTTATTGCATGAATATGCCCAGCTCAATATGTTGTATAATCTGCTGTTCATGGTGAGGTTTGCTACACTATTGTCCTTAAGTGTAGGAAACTACAAGGTCTGTTTGGTCTAGTGTGCAGAGGAAAACTAGTTCCTGGTCTAATTAGAAGCCTCTTGTACTTAACAAAATGTTAAGGCAACAAGTAGGAGCAGAAGTAGACCAATCTGCCCACTGAGTTTACTCTGTCTTTCACTGTGATCATGGCTGATCTGATAATCCTCAACTCAATTCCTGCCTTTTCCCATAACCCTTGATTCCCTTAGTGATTAAAATTCTGTCTAACTTTGTCTTGAATATACTTAACAACTCATCCTCGACAGCTGTGGTAAAGAATTTCACAGATTTACTACCCTCTGAGACAAGAAATTTCTTCTCATCTCTATCTTAAATGTGCAACCTCTTATTTTGAGATTATCCAAAGCTGTTCCCCAAGGGAAACAAGCTTTCTGTATCTATCCCGCCTAATCCTTAAGAATCTCTTATGTTTCAATAAGGTCACCTCCCATTCCTCGAAACTCCAATGAGTGCAGGGCCAAATTACTCAACTTCTCCTCATAAGACAATTCCTCCATATTGGTATCATCCTAGATTTATTGCATTTTAGCAACTACTAACAGAATGCTTTGATATGAGGATCAGACATTATGTTTCATTTTTCTGGGATCCTACACTGTTCACATGCCAGCATCAAAGTTAGTCATACTTCTCACAGTCCTTTCACAGCCAATACTCAGCAGGTCTGGCAGATTCTTTTGTGATGATACTGTGGCTTTAAGCAGATGCATTTTGTCCTTTTATGTGAAGAGAGATTTTAAGGCAGAGCTGAGAGCTGTCTATTGGATTCCAATAAAGTGAACAGCTTGTGAGGCCTGGGCCCTTTTTATTTAAAGGTGGAACTAGAACAAACCTGAATGGGTAGGGTCAAGCTCCCACGAACCAGGATTTTTAGCTTTAGTTTTTCAGTAGCAGTGCTGCTGGGGTCTTGAGGCTGGATTTGGAAGCTGTTTTTCCCTTTCTCTCTTACAGCAAAAAGCTGGGGTTCTCTTCCTGCTGCTAGAATTGCATGTGGGACACTGTATTTTACTGAATTTGCTTTTGCCAAGGGTGTGTTTGTAGAATGTTACTATATTGGAACAAATACTGTTTAGTAGTTAAATAAACTATTATTTTGTAAAATTTTCCAATAGAGTTAAGTTCTTCCAATTTCTTCTCTCATTTCTTATATTTTTATTGTAGTGTATGAATAAAGTGTGCTTTGCTTTAAGACTTGTAGTTTGACTAATTGAATTGCATCCAGAACGCAATGCCTGGCACATGTCTTTAAAAATCAGAAAAAGTTAGGGTCTAGGCTATCTTCTTAATGTATTTTGAGGGAGTTTGGTCTGATCCATAACATTTTGGAGAGCTTGGAAATGTTAGAAAAATAGATTGGGTAGGACAAGGATTCAAGGAGAGAGATTGAATGATTGAAAAGTTGTCTTCCAGGGCCAAAGGGCATGCTGACAGGGCAGGCAAAGAAACAAATAAAAGATGTAACTGCTGCTGTTTGAAAGTAAAGGGAACAGAAAAACCTAAACATACAAAAAGCAAGCCAAATGTTAGCCAACGATTACGGGCTGAAACTGATAAAATCAATGTTGAGGACAGAAGGTGCCTAATCAAAAAAAAATGAAGGGCCCCCCTCCCAGTCTTTCTGTTTTTAGGCTGTTTTATTTATATTGGTGTGTGAATGCAATTGATAATTGAATAAAGTGGTAAAAAAGAAGACTGGTCCCATCTTTGGAGAAGTTTGCTGTCCTGAAGACGAGAATATGGGTGAATGGAATGATGAATGTGTGCTGTAATTCATTGTGGATCAGATTTATAGCAGCTTGAGATGTGGCAGGAGGACATTTGGCCTCAAAAATACTGCCCAGGACACAGGGGTAGAATTAATTATTTATCCCCTACAATAAGTGATGACTCTTCTCTCACATAGGAATGCAGAATGCGAGGACAGTCGGATGTTTTCTATTCAATTTGATTTAAAAATCTAGCAGACAAGTTTCACACCAGCGTTGTAGGACTATGGAAATGCACCACCTGTGTTGACTACTGTTGTGGAGCCAATTGAGCTTCCGAAAGAAAAGTTGAACAGTTGGAAATTATTAAAAAGGCCCAAGGAAAGCAAAGAAAATTGGGATGAGGTGTGTGCAGCTAACACATTAGAGGGCAAACTATATGCAATGAATTAGTCTATTCCTTTCTTATTTTCACTGAGGTAAGGTCAGGTGGCTAATTATGAACATATTAACACATCTTGATGTTGGTGATTTAACAAATTAATGTTACAGTGAAGGTAACATACCTCAAACAAAGAAAAAGAATAAATGCGACTATGAGGGCTCCGACCGAGATGCAATGACCCAGATAGTTGATGATCAGCGCGATCTTGTAGTGGAGTTGATATTTCCTCTGAAATAAAATATAAAAAAAACTGAAGTTATTTAGATAAAACTCTTGGTACTGTTGCTTAATAATAAGAGGCACTTATATGATGATTTTACACCATGATTGGTGTGAGGGTCCTGATATACTGCGGCCCAGGACAATTTTGAAACTAGGAACTTATCTAAATATTCAGGCTCTGACTCTGCCCTGAACCCAGCAGGTATCATTGTCCTGGGCTGGCAGTGGAGCTGTCATTATAGATCCACATGAGTAGAAATGTAGAGATTGTGGGCTGATCATGATTGAGGAAAAGGGGAGGGGGGTATCATGTGAAACAGTCTCAAACCAGAGGGCATAATCTCAGAGTAAGGTGTCACTCAGCTGTGACAGAGATGAGGCGGAGTTTTCTCTCTCATAGGGCGGTCAATCTGTGGAATTCTTTACCACAGAAAACTGTAGAGGTTGGGTTATTAGGTGTATTTAAAGCTGAAATAGACTGATTTTTATTCAGTGAGGGAATCAAGGGTTAGGGGGAAAAGGCAGAAAAATGGAGTTGAGGATTATGAGATTAGCCTTGATTTCAATGAATGGCAGAGCAGAGTTGGTGGGTGAATGGCCTGGTTCTGCTCCTGTGTCTGATGGGTTTATAGTTGTGGTTGTAATGGATCCTTGTTGGTTTCAGTGGAATACTCACCTGCTTCCTGGTCCAGAAGGAAGCTTAGAAAAATTTTTGAGATAACATTGGTTGGACCACTTGAATGGGAGCCATCCCTATCAATCAGGCCAATTTCCACCTAGGAAACCAGTTAGGGTCAAAAAGCACACTTGGTGGAAACTTCACAGTTTGTAGGGAAACCTGAACTGATAGGCTTGCTGTCCAATTCTCCACTCCTTGTGTGACCTGCTTCTGTTACCATCCAGGTATTTCCCTTAAGAGGTTAAATGAAGAAACAACTAAACCAAATACATTGGGAAAAGTTACAAAACGCTGCAGGAGAAGAAAAATGAAACATTTCTAATGATGCAATGCAAAGCAAGTAGAAAAATTACCGACCCTAAAACAAAAAGTTCAGAATACAGATCTACAAATTCTGCAAGAAGGTTCTTTAGGTTAAATACTTTAAAAATACAGAAATATATTGAAATAGGCACCACCAATATGATCAGCACTACATTCAGTGACGTGAATATTGTTAGTCAACATTAAGTGAAGATAACCACGACAAGATGAGGTGATGGCTTCATGGTTTTATTGCTGAATAACTGAGCCAGAGCTCCAGATAATGAGTTTAGGAACCTGTATTCCAATCCCATCATGGTAGATGATGCAATTCTAAATCAACTAAAAAATCTGGAATTAAATGTTGAATGATGACCATGAAGGCATGTCTTGAAGAGAGGGAAATCTGCCATCTTTACATGATCTGGCTACAAGTGACTCCAGACCCAAAGCAAAGTGATTGACTCTAAACTGCTCTCTGAAATGGCCTAGCAAGCCTCTCAGTTTTATTAACAGCAAGAAAGTCTCAAAATGAATGAAACTTAACAGACTACTGAGGCACTGGTAATGTCAATGGCAAACACAGCCCTGTTAATCTAAGAAGTTCCCTGGCTAATATCTGTAGGCTAGTGCCAAAATTTGGAGAGCAGTCGCACAAACTAGTCAAGCAGTAGCCTGATACAGTCATACTCCAGGAATCCAGGAAACTATAGGCCAGTCAATCTAACCTCAGTAATAAAAATAGAGATTGCTGGAAAAGCACAGCAGGTCTAACAGCATTTGTGAAGAGAAATCAGAGTTAACATTTCGGGTCCGGTTACCCTTCCTCAGTTCTGAAATGTTAACACTGATTTTTCTTCACAAATGCTGTCAGGCCTGCTGAGCTTTTCCAGCAATCTATACTTTAGTTTCTGATTTACAGCATCCTCAGTTCTTTCTGTTGTTTTTTAGTCTGACCTCAGTAATGGGGAAACTGTTGGAAGAAATTCTGAGGGAAAGAATGAATCTGTACTTGGAGAGGCAGGGATTGATCAAGAACAGTCAGCAAAGTTTTGTGAAGGGGAGGTCCTGTCGGACCAACTTGATTGAATTTTCTGAAGAGGTGATCTGGTGCATAGACGAGAGCAATGCACTTGATGTTGTCTATTTGGATTTCTGGCAGGCTTTTAATAAGGTCCTGCATGGAAAGGCATGGATGGACCAAGGAAAGTTGGTTAATTGGATCCAGAATAGGCTCAGTGTCAGGAAGCAAAGGGTATGGTCAAGGGGTGCTTGTGTGATTGGAAGCCTGTGTCTATCTAGTGTATCTAGTGGAGTTACACAGGACCCTTGTTGTTTTTGGTATGTAGAAATGATTTAAACTCGACAGTAGGAGGGTTGACCAGTAATTTCGCAGAGAATATGAAAATTGGTGGGATGGTAAATAATGAGGAGGTTAACTTGAGAATACAGGAAGGTATAGGTGGGCTGGTCAAATGGGCTCATCGGTGGCAAGTGAAATTCAATCTGGATAAGTGTGAGGTGATGCACTGATGCAAGACAAGCAAGGGAGGGGGACACATGATGAGCAGTAGGACCCTAAGAAGCACCAAGGAGTGCCGGCCAATGGCCACTTAAGATAGCAGGACAGGTTGATAAAGTGGGCATATGGGATACCTGCCTTTACTAGCCGAGCCATGGAGTTAACGAATGTAAGAATGATAATGGAACTGTATAAAAAATTGGTTAGGCCACAGTGAGAGTATGTGCAGTTCAGGAACCCACATTATAGGATGAATGCAATAGCGCTGGAGAGGGTGCACAGGAGATTCAAAAGGAAGTAGCCAGGGTTGGAAAGGTTTAGTTATGAAAAGAGGTGGGATAGACTGGGGTTATTTCTTTGGAGCAGAGGAGACTGAGGGGGGACATGATTGACATGTGCAAAATTATGAGGGGCATGAAAATGAAGGCACTTCCCATTTGATGGAGGGATCAAAGACCTCAGCATAGATTTAAGGTGAGGGCAAAAGGTTTAGAAGTGGTGTGAGAAAACATCCTTTCCCCAAGAGAGTGGTGGGAAAATGGAACTCAATGCCTGTAAGGGTGATAGAGACAGAAACCCTCATAATGTTAAAGAAGTATTTAGATGTGAACTTGCAATGCCGAGGCCTATAAGGCTATGGGCCAAGCGCTGGTAAAAATTGGACTGGAATAGTTAGGTGGTTGTTTTTGACCGGTGCAGACTCAGTGGGCCGAGGGGCCTTTTTCTCTGCTGCAGGCCTCTATGACTGATAGAATTATACCTTACAAACAATGTCCCAGTCACCACCATCACCATCCCTGCATATGTCCTGTCCTACCAGCAGGAAGGGCCCAGAAGAGGTACCACAATTGTATTTCCAATCAACCTGCTCAGAGATGCTACTACACACCTCTGGAGCAGGTGGGTTTTGAACTCAGGCCTCCTGGCTCAAATACTACCACTGAGCCACAAAAGGAAAAATTGCACTGAAAGTCCTCAACGTTGGCTTCAAATCCCATGATGTCTCATGGTACCAGGTCAAACATGGACAAGGAAAGCTCTTCCTAATTATCACCTACTATCTTGCCTCAGCTGATGGCTCTGTGCTTCTCCATGTTGAACAGCAAGGGAGGAAATACTAAGGATGACAAGAGAGAGCGGGTGACTTGGCAGTACCAAATATGACCAAGCTGGTCGAGTCCTAAAGGACATAGCTGTGAGAATGGATCTGCAGTGGGTGGTAAGGGAAAATACAAGTGAGAAAAACAGACTTGACCTCATATCCTCACCAATCTGCCTGCCACAGATGCATCAGTCAATGACAGTATGGGTAAGAGTGACCACCGCACTGTCCTTGTGGAGATGAAATGCCGCCTTCATGTTGATAATACCTTAAATCGTATTGTGTGGTATTATCACTGTGCTAAATGGGATAGACTTCTAACAGATCTAGCAACTCAAGAAGCAGCTGCAGCACAGAATCATGCTTCAACACAATCTTCAAATGCATGGCCTGGCATATCCTCCACCATTACCTTCAAGCCAAGGGATTAACCTTGTTCAATGGAGAGTGTAGGAGGGTATGCCAAAAACAGCACTGGGCATAGCTATAGTGTCAACCGGGTGAAGCTATCAAACAGGACCAGTTGCATGCTAAACAGCACAGGCAGCAAGTGATAGACAGAGCTAAACAATTCCACAACCAATGGATCAGATCTAGGCTCAGTAGTTCTGCAACAGTTAGATTGCTGGTGAACAATCAAAGGTCAGAAGTGGGGATTGCACAATGTTCAGAACCATTCACAACTCCTCAGATACTGAAGCAGTCCACGTCCAAATACAACAATACCTGGACAATATCCAGAATTAAGCTGCAAAATAGATAACATTCACACTACACAAATGTCAGGCAAGGACCAACTCCAATAACAAATAATCTAAACATCATCACTTCACATTCAATAGCACTACCATCACTGAATCCCCAGCTAACATCATCCCAGAAGTTACCATTAACCACAATCTGAACTGGACTAGCTGTATAAATATTCAGCCTTCAGGGGCAGATCAGAGGCTAAGAATCATGCAGTGACTAACTCAATTTCTGATGCCCCAGAGCCTGCCCACAAGGTACAAGTCAGGAATGTGATGGAATATTTGCTACTTGCCTGGATTGCAGCTCCAATGAGGCTCAAGAAGTTTGACACCATCCAGGACAAAGCAGCCTGCTTGATTGGTACGACATACACAAACATCTACACCTTCTATCACCAATGCTCAGTAGCAGCAGTGTGTACCATCTATGACATGTACTGCAGAAATTTACCAAAGCTTCTTCAACCTTGTCTCCAAACACATGACCACTTCCATTTAGAAGGATAAGGACACCGGACACATGGAAACACCACCACCTGTAAATTCCCCTCCAATCCACTCACTATCCTGACTTTGAAATATATCACTGTTACTTCACTGTAGTTGAATTCCGTCAAAATCATGGACTTCCCTCCCTGAAAGGATTGT